GGAGCTAGGAAAAACACTCGCTGAAGACATTTTTAGCCGATTCGCATGACAGATCAAATCGTGATTTTCGTCCTCGGACTGCCGTGTACCACGTGACCGTTACGTCATCGATTCCTGCGATCCGCGCCTTGTCCGCGGACGCGCGGACTGACAAAGTCGAGCGCCTCTTCACTCGCAGATTTTTGCAGGAGATTGACTTGAAAAGAGTTTAGTCTGACAACTATACAACGTTTCCTTGTTGTATTTTGTTTCAGGACGATAAAAACCAAAATGGCGCATTGTTGCGCTTTTTTTTTTTTTTTTGCTTTCGTTGGTTCGTTTTGTCACGCGATTCTTGGTTCCACCCGTCAAAGAAACTGCAGAAACTTTGTCTGGCTGACGCGACGCAGGTTCCGGTACTCCTCTGGGTCTGTGTCAATAAGTTTCCATTAAAACTCGTCTAGCACGCCGCGATAATCCTTGCACGTCCAGTCAGGCTTTCACCGGGCAAGACCTTCCTTGTGTGGTGTACTTAAGTGCTGTGCACGAGCGCGGAGTGCGTGAAGGTATCTTTAAGCGCCCCTCCGCGAGCCCAGAGATTCGTCGTTTCCACGCCGAAGCCTTCCCGATCGGGACCATGTCTGTGTCACTCTCATGCCTTGGGTTAGTAGAGCTAGTGGTACTTCTTGCGAAGCTTATGTCGGTGTTCTGTCTCGATCTGTACGTAACAGCGGCGTACGATTCTTTATCATGGTGCCAAACGTAGATTTCTCTCTTGGACAATGGTGCCACGGCGCAATGTTGGAGTTTCGCGGCACTATAAGGTGGCGAACAGGTTAGGTCCGTTTTTGCCGGCGTCTGCTCGTCGTCTCTCTCGCGTGGGTACGCTTGGCAGACGGACGAACCAGATATATTTCGTCACGTTATCAATCCGCCCGCGGATTAGTCCGTCATGTGAATCGGCCGTAAGTATCAGGGTTTTTACAAGTTTGTTTCACGCTTGTTTCCTTTACTACTGCGAAAGCATTAACTGTCTCATGCAGCGAGCCGACGTCATCAGCTTTGAAACCATGCAAAACGGCACCTTAATGAAACCACGCGCAAAGCTAGCCAACGGCACCTTTTTCACTTCGGTCCCATAGGCTGGCGTGCTTCGACGAGGATCCCATTGGCCGCCGCGCGTCAGTTTGTGTGGTATCATCCTGACTGTATTATCACACAGTTCAGTTATCAGTGATCACCGCGTTTGCTCGCCTCTTATCGGTTGTACGGCGCGTGGCAATACATACGGCGCATGGAATAAGCCAAGGGGTTCGTTATGCTGAGAACTACGTTGCAGTCTGTTCCTTCCTCGCGCCACAAGGTACACGGCAGTTTAAACGATCGCTCACCCGCTGGCGCTGCGCGTTGACGAGGCAGCGGCTCCACCGTTCCACGCCTAAGGTCAGTCAGTACGTTGTACGCCGCATATTAAAGAAGGGAGCGAAGAGCGGCGTGCGTGCTTTCGCACTCACAACTCATAAGAAGTGCTTAGGCGTACCTCGAGCCTTTTATTCAACTGACACATATTTCTCTTCATAGCCCTGGCCACTGACTGGTGAAAATAAGCACTATGCCGGGGATCTTTTATTTTTTTTTTCTCCTGATGACCATTTATAGCAAAGTTTCGAAAATAGGGAACTAGCCGTTAACGACAGCACTTAGGCCATGATATGTTGCCACTTTTGTTCGGTTCTGTTTTGGTAGAGTTTTATAACGGTGGCTGTGAAAATATTTTCCATTTGGTATGAAAAACAACTTCAAAATACAGAAGCCGTCACATAATATTTAAATAAATATGTTTGAATCAATAAGTGTAACTAATTTCGTTGTGCAGACTTCAAATTGAACATTAAGAGATAAAAAGCTTACACCAAAAAGACGTAGTTACTGATGCTTTTAATTTTTTTCCAATCTTCAAATAAAAGAAGCTTGGGAACGTAACGTAAACGGAATAAAAAATAAATTATAAGAATGAAAATCTTTTGTGATTTAAGTAGCGATATTCATGCCAATGATGCATTATTTCAGTAAAAAGTTCCTGCGAATCCAAAAAGCAATATTGTTTCCTTTCTTTCTTACAACCTGCTTGTTTTGAAAAAAAAAAAACGCCACACCTATGGTTTCATCCGGGTAAAGTCATGTAATACCTGCGCATTCAATCACCATCGCTGATATTATATTCAAGCAGGGTTTCGGATTTATGCAACACATATATAGTTTACTTATCAGGGGCGACAGGGATTTCCACTTTTGTTTATCGAGCTCATAATTTGCAAAAGGATAGGAATCTCAAACAGTCAAAACACTTCGACAAGCTCTCAAGGCGATATCGTTTATTCATAATTTTTAATTGTACGAAATATACATTTTTTATAGTTTATTGTCAAGAGTTTCTAATCAGGATTTTCACCCTTTTTGTGATGGTTTTCGAATAGCTTTTAGATTGTTTTTCGATAATTATGTTTAAGTGCTTAATTGGAGTTGCGTTTTTCTCCGGTCTACAGGACGTTCCCTGGACGTTCTTCACCCCTCAATTAATAAAACCCCATCAATAGCATTACGATTTGTATCTTGATAGTTTCTGGATATTCGACTATAGAAAATTTCATAATAGTCGACTATTGATAGTATGCTATCGAGTTTCACGATAGTCGACTGTCGATAGTTTTACAATATTCGACTATCGATAGCAGTATCGATAGTTTTTTTGCACTATCGAGAATACGATATAACTATCTATATTTCTGCATCACTAGTGCGCAGGCTTTCTTCTTGCAGCGGAGAAAGCTCGAACCACGATTAGCTTCCGCAAGGGCAGCTGAGCTACCACTCCTGCATCCTCTGCGATTCTCATAAGCTGGGGAAAACAGAAGAGAGAAAGCACTATATAGCGGCCTTCTGGACGTCAATCGAAATTCGAGCTTTGACCGTTTAATGTAGCCATGTTATCTTTATGTAAAAAAAAGGTGAATTGTTCAGTTATATACATCCCGCTGCGTTTGGAATTTCAGTCTTCTTGCAGCACTTTTGACACTCAGGCGCGTTTGCTACGAAGCACATGTCCGTCTGAAGCTACAGAACAGACGCCCATTCATTGACGCCGATACCTGATATTCATTTCACGCGGGATGCTTTCATGCTGAGCGCACGCCGCTCGTCGGCGGAGGACGACTCTGCGGCTGCTATCTGTCCTTACGTGAAGGATTTTCTCCGGAAATATAATCCCATTACATTGAGGACTTGTTTTCTTGCATGAGTAGTTACTTTCACTTGGAATTGCGTGTGCACAGCCAGTGAAGTGATTGACCGTGATTCAAGATTACGTTTACGAAGCAGTGTAAAACCTCCACTCCTATGCGATTTTTTTTTTTTTAAGTTCAGCGAGGTCAATGTCAGTGCATATTTTTCCGCACTCGAATGTATTTGTTTGTTCCTTGAGGATTCACAACATCGCATATTTGTATATTAGGCACTATATGCGCGCGTATTCCTTTACTGTTTTCTGACCGTATAATTGGGCGCCCACTTCCGGAAATAATATGAGCCTGCTCTTTTAATTAATTTTCGAAATCGCTTGGAGGATTGGTGTTGTCTTCCGCCGGGAAAATGCCGAGTTTAAATAATCTAAATGCGCATACCTAGGCGTTAGAATGAGTGACTAAAAAACGACGCTCTCAACTTAAAAAAAAAGCATTATTTCGTAAATCTTTGGCTGTAATCAGCGTAAAATATTGAGTGGACTGCACATCACAATCTAAATCCTCTTGATTTTTATATCTTCATCCCCATCATAGAAGATACCGCGCTCGCGCTTTATGGGGTGCATCACCCGTGCCTACCTCAATCTCGTACACGTCACTTGAAAAGGGTGATTGATTAATATTACTATTTTCCTTTATTTTATTCAGACAGCGTATTGACAAGCATCAAATGTTTCCACTAAATTAAGTAACCAAAATTAGCACTCCCTACCACACTAATCATTTTTATGGCGGCTTCTCGTGTTAAAAAAAAAAGCAGCTAAAATTGCGGATCGTTTGTGCTAACTGTATGTATCGCTCTCTTTACTAAATCCGCCCGAATGAAGAACGGTGCTCGTATGGACGGTTCGCCAAGACTTTATGGATGGTGATAGTATTTTTTTTTAAATTAAGAGACATTCGGCGCTACTGCCGAAGAGAACAATACCAAAGGGCCAATGTATTTAACAGAGTGGCTCTGATCGGTGAGGGCTCGCAGACATTACATGCCGTCGGGTACACAGCGCACGCGACGGATGGTATGCGCGGATGTATAGGAAAAATTACATTATTTCGCGAGGTTTGTAACACAAATAATTTAGAGTGCACGGCAGCGGGTATAAGCTGCGAGAACACCCAGCGTATTGTGTTGCGACAATACCAAAACGCTCTTAATACCAAACAACAATCGCCGTTTTCCTCTTTTTTTTTTGACATCGGACGTGTTAAGGGCTAGTTTCCCCATTATCGTGTCCGTGGGCAAACAAATCTCGACACAAAACTCTGGACAGCTACCGCCATCTATTAACGACGTCGGCAACCTAACAACCGGCTTGCCGGTTGTCTGGTTGCCGCTGTCGCTCATAGATGGCGGCAACCTTTGGAGCCTCTCCACGCCGGCGTGCCGAGTTGCGGTCGGCCATTACTTCATTCCCACCATAGTACAGCTTCGCTAGTATACCTTCTTTACCAGAGTGGAAAGGCTGAAAAGCATTTTTTTTTTCTGTATTATAGCAAAGTGTTGCCATCATTTGGTGAATTTAAGCGTATTCGAAGGAAACTGACCACTTGTGCCTTTATACGTGTATTCTAATTGACAAAACCGTCTTCTTCTTTGGAATTCCAGTGATGCTGCTGAATCGCGCGCAATGCACTGCCCTTTCTATTGTGCTGCATTAGTATACGCTCGAGCCTGGTGGCGGGTGGTCGGGCTGACGTGCGTTTCCCTGTTGCTTGCAGCACGTGCTGAGCATGTCCGAGGACGACCCGCGTCGGATGGACGAGATCCGCAAGTACGCCGCCATCTACGGACGCTTCGACTGCAAGCGCAAGCCTGAGAAACCGCTCACTCTGCACGAGGTGGGTGCGGGCTCGGCCACATCTCCACATCTCCGATGGCAACCCATTGGGAATGCAACCGGGGACGTCTCGGAGCCACCGAATTTGAATAGGTGGCATACTGCGGAAATGGCTCCTTGAACCGCATGAACATGTCCGAAAACTTTCGGATACGTTTATCCAGAGTGCTCAGAGATCTCTACCCGAAACATAAACTTCTTACACTAAACTAAAATAAATAAATAAAAAAAAATTACTTGTGTCCCCAGATTTAGTTTTATAAAATAATATTTCCCGATAATAGACCGTTTTACTGAAAGAGGGCGAGAGAAAAAAGGGGAGAGGGCTACCGGCGCTTTCCCCCTTTCTGGTCGTGTAGAAAGAGTGAAAGTCCCGGCTGAGAGGCTTGGCCGGTGTTGGGTGTCTGCAGTGCCCCAACTTCGTTCGCACTTTCTTTTCTGTTTTAAACTCGCAAACTTTGTTAGAGCTATGGGCTTCGATGGCAACAGTTCCCCGGTCATGCGGACACCATCGCTCGGTCATACTGTGCACGAATAAAAACAGAAAGCGTCGAATACTGTCCGAGGACCTATGTAGCTTGCAAGGAATCCGGCAAGGCGAGAGCGGGTGCAATGTCTTTAAGCTCTATCGCTTTCCACATGACCCCGGTTTCAGGCGGCAGTGGATTGCGTCCGCAAACCGAAAAGGCGTTTCCTCAACGCCAGCCTCTCGACTGTGCTCGGAACATTTTGTGAATGGAGCGCGCACCGAACGCTGTACCGCCGATGAACATGGGGTACGCTCGCAAGGTGCGTGCGAGTTTTCTCGCGTTAACTGCTGTTCGAGCTTGTAAAATTTTGTATCTGAATATATCTTAATATTTATAATTTGCAGTGATGACTGACCCGATTTTATCATCGACAACACTTAGATGAAGTCTCACTTCTGCCGCCGGGTGAGGCTGGAATTTTTTTGAAATGGTAGTTCTATCAGTTTTCCTGAATCGCGATCTCCTGCGTGATGCCAGAGAGCCGGCAAAATCGCTCCTTGGAGTGCCGCTGGTGGGTTGTTTCCGTTGATGGGCGCTTTGAAACGCTGGATAGTCGCTGCACGGTTCGTCTCGTGTCTTGCGATCTGCGTTTTCGAGCCCAGTGTGCAAGTTTCTTTGTTCGAGTCAAAGTTCCGGCTCGTGCAGCAAGCGCAAGGCTAGCTGTGGCGGAGCGCGGATGATTGGATTGTCGTCGCGTTCCGCCACTGCTGCTAGCCTTGCGCTTGCTGCACGAGTGGGAACTTTGGTGCACCCCCGAGTTCCCCACGAGCTTCAAGTCGTTCTAAAAAAAATTGATTTTGTGATTTTCGATGACGCTCAGCAAGTTTCTAATTGGAACCATATGTCTATTATCACTAATTAACAAGTTAATTAACGAATTCTAATTAGTTAGCCAACTTATCGAAAAGATTAGTCACCCACATAATGTGCCCCTGGCCGCATAACTCACCTACACAAATAGCGTAAGTGCAACTTTTACGGCTTTTTTTAAGCAATCCTGTAAAGCTTAAAAAACAAAACAAAAAGCCCAGTATATTGTTGTTGTTTTTTTTTTTTTTTTTTTTTTGTTAAGTTGTCTTTTTGACATGCGTGTCCTATTCGGGCACTAGTTTTGTGTATGGGAGTCGAGTGTCTCTTTAGCGGGGGTCACGAATTAGTTATTACGCGTATAAATGTCGATAAGCGGAAAATGAGCCAAATCGAACTCACGCAATAGTCTGTGACAGGTCAAGAACGAAGTGGAAGCTTCTCCCACCCCTCTTCACTTTAGCAGAGCGAACTCTGGACAGGAGGGACCTCCTCTCCTGCGTTCGCTCTGCTAAAGTGGAGAGTTTAATTGTTTCAAGTTTTCGTCACCCAGTCTCAGATCTTTTAAGAAAATGTTAAAGATCAAGAGATTTGCGAGACAAAGTTCGCTGATCAGATGGTCCTCAATCAAAAATAAGGTGAAGAGTGCATTTATGCCGAACGACTTCGTTAAGTTTTCCGCTGGCCTTAGCTTTCAAATCTTCCAAAATCTCAAAGCTTTCAAGTCCACAAAATCTCGATGTAGCCTTCATCGAACTGTCCGATACGCCACGTACATATCTGCGAATATACTTCTTCGAGATGAAGATTTTGAAGCCAAACGTGGCTCTTGCGAAAACAGATGAGCCCCTCCAAATTTTTTTTACCACTTGCAGTTAGGAGTTTAGTGTGAATATTCGCATCATTGCTGAACGCACAACATCCTACTGAGACGGGGCTCGAGCAATCTTACGTTACGTGTGCCTGAATCAGGAGAACATATTTGCATACCACTTTAAATATGTGACTTCCTTTTTAATCTTTCACATTTATAAACTGATTCTCCCCACTCCCCACTCCGTCCGGCGCGCTCCGTCTTCACTTTGCGGCGAATTGGCCCGCTGCTGCAAAAAGTGACCGACCTCTAGTCAAGGGTAATGAAGCAACGAGATGCTTCGCAAGCTTCACTTCCTATTGCTCTACAATACGTAGTTGCAATGTAAATATGAAGTCAATATTTTTTTTTCGCTGTACTTTTTAATGTGCACATACCCTCTGACACAGCCTAAGCGAAAACGCACCTTGTCTTTCAACAAACTGGATCTTTTTTTGCCTGAGCCCGCATCCATCAATAACCGTGCTTTTTGGATTGTATTTCCTCCTCGTAAGTTCAACGATTTCCTTTCCAAATCGAGATGTGCAGCCGAGTGGCACAGATGCTTGCGCGTGTCTGTTATTATTTCGGTGGTACTATGAGATCTTGTTAAATAGAGAATCATGCAACTCGGTTATCCTCTTCAATATTCTTATAAAAACATTCAATTTTTTATCCTCGAAAGTCATTCAACCCTCACTTCCGCCCTAGGAGGTCCCTAAATGTACGCTGCACCGCAATGCAGTCGCGGCTCGAATTGTTAGTCCTGTTTTTAGTCGGATAAATAAACGAAAGTGGCTATTGGTAGATCGCTTTCTTCGCCCCGCAGGCTCATAATGCAATGGGGTTGGAGGTCTCGCCCTTGGCTAAACTGCTCGCAGTAAGACCGATGATTAGTGTGGCGAACGTATCGACGGGCGGCGTACATCCGGGAGCTACCGACAGTGCGATAGCGCCCAAAACAACTTTCTATAGCCTCTGGCACCTCAAGGAACGCAGTGCGTTGCGAGTTCTGAGCAATTAATTTTCCGCCATGATGGCGCTTAAGACGAGGACAAAAGGGAGACAGACAACACGGAGCGCTCCGTGTTGTCTGTCTCCCTTTTGTCCTCGTCTTAAGCACCATCATGACGTCAAATTCCCAGTACCAACTAGCCAAACAATCTGAATTAATTTTCGCTCAAGCAATGAGATTGAAACATGAGCCGTAAGAGCACCGAAGGATGATTCACAAGGCATAAAGTCCGTGACCATAGAAAATAGGGCCGCAGGGCTGTATTTTCAAAGTCACCTTCCGGAGGCTAGCGCAGGGCACAAACCGAGGGCTCCGTCACCGCTCGGCTGGGACCATAGTTTAAGATATATAAAAGTATGGACAGCGCGAGCGTCTCCAGACAAAGTCCTCTCCTCGCCTTGGTTGCAAGCGGTGACACCAGCGCGCGTTTCCAGATAAAGTCCTCTCCTCGCCTTAGTTGCAAGCTGTGCCACCAGGGCGCGTTTCCAGATAAAGCACTCTCCTCGCCTTGGTTGCAAGCGGTGACACCAGCGCGCGTTTCCAGATAAAGTCCTCTCCTCGCCTTAGTTGCAAGCGGTGACACCAGCGCGCGTTTCGAGATAAAGTCCTCTTCTTGCCTTAGTTGCAAGCGGTGCCACCAGACGGCGCCTCGATATGCGGCTAAGGGCAGCCCGCCACAGGCCAAGTTTACTATGCTTCTCTATGGAAGCACGCTTGTCTTTGAAGTCGTTTCCCGGGTGCGTCACGTCATGAAGAACTCGGCACTTGCGCTACTTGTGTGGCTTAGAAACGGCTTCGTCATTAACCCTAGTTTCTTGCCTCAAACGGCGGTAATAACAGTTTCATGAACGCGTTAAAGTGGAGATATCTCTGGCGTGGTGTTCAAGCCAGCGTCCGTCTATATCAGGGGCAGACGCTTCAACGGAAAGAGTGAGCGCCAGGGTACCATGGGAACCAGACACTTTCTTTCTACTGTTTTTCTTTTTTCCTCAGTTGCGCCGTCTGAACGGCAGAGACGCTGTCGGTTGAGGCGAGTGCCCGTGGTTGAGGATACGCGGGCGCACGCCAGCAGGACTTTATCTGGTTGATCGCGTCGCAACGTTCGCCGTGGTGTGTGTCCTCACCTGTATATATATCTTGAACCGGTGTGACACTGCTCGTACATAATACAAACAATAGTCTGTTAACCCGAGTCACCGCAATATCCCTGGTTCGAATGCCGCGCGCCAAGTTTTTCCTTGAACTCATTCCCATGCGGCATTCGAACCACGGATCTCGCGGTGACTCGCATTCGAATCTGTACGCAGACTGTCTTTTGTATGATGCATAAGCAGTGTGACCCCGGCTTTACACCGTGGCTCGAACTATTCCATCAGTGTGGACACGGGTCCCAGCCGAACGGTGACGTACCCCTCGTGTCCAGCATGATCTGGCCTCCGGAATGGTGACGTCCACAATTGAGCACAGTGGCCTCGCATTCCTGGAGGTGTTGCCGAAGCCCATCTTTGATCAGGGCTCGCACCTGCCCGCTCTGTGACCGTTCTGGCCGTCCCCGCTGCAGGTGTCGGTGAACGAGGCCGCGGCGCAGATCTGCAAGCACATTCCGGCGCTGCTAACACGGCGCGACGAGCTGTTCCCGCTGGCCAGGCAGGCGGTGCGGGACAGCGGCTACCCGTTCTCCAAGGGACAGTCCAGGTGAGGCTAACTACTAATTAACACTCGGCTCGGTCGTGCGCACGGGCCTCCGGTGCTGCGACGGGTGGCCGTGCCAACTCCATAGTGGCCCCGCGCTGGCCCACCGTTGGTGACATATGGAAGGTGCGCTACTAAAGCGGCGGTCAGGCTGCTAATACATCGTACGGTCTGCAAATGAGTTTCTTCCTTGTATTACGGTCGCATTGGTCGAACAAAGACTGACCGCAGACATATTCGAAGAAAACGTATAGGGAGCAATCACCCCTCTCACGTAAATGCCAGTCCGCAGATAGTTGACATCATGCGTGCTGACGTGTGTTTTGGATGATGTACAAGACTCCGAATTAGCGCTTTCTATCTTGCTGGCTCTGATACGTGTTACAATTCTAATATTAAAATTTGGACCTAAATTCTTTTTTTTTTTATTGCAGCTTGGGGAAAAGTAATTGATCGAACATTTTTTGATGCCGCACTCCGATGGGGTTGAGGCTTCGATATCGCGGCGGCTTTCGAGTGCGTGGGGCGCCAGAACGGATATGTTCTGGGATGGGTCGCTCATCAATCTTGGTGGTGTGTAGCCTACACTACAGGCCTTCCATCTGTTGCGCCCGGATATCTAGACAGGGACGGAAGGAAAGATGCAACATGTGTGTGACGCTTCTGGGAAGCGAGCGTAGGTCGGGTGCCGCTTCGGGGGGTCTTGGGGAGCTCGCGCTGCCCTCGAGCCACTCCGGCCCTCAAGGTTACGGGCACACCGGGGATCGGTCTTTAATTACCGCTGCTCCCGCGGGGCGAGCACGCCGAGCGCCTTTCAGTACGCGCTGCTCGGAGGACGCCGCTTCCTTGCTCCGAGCTAAGATACAACCTCCCTTCCCGCTGCACTCCACTCTTGGAATCGAAATGAGCTAAAAAAAAGAAGAAAAAAACTAGCCGAGGAGCATAGCGTTAAAGATTCGCGTCGGGGGTAACCCTGCATCGGGAGCCACAATCTTGCTATAGAAAGAAAAGCTAAACTATTCATCGGAACTATTCTTTATGGGAATCTATCAGAAAAGGGCGGGGAACCCTGTTCACATGATTTTGGGCTCTTTTAGTTCGGCGCCGCGAGTTCTTGAAGAGAAAAATTGACATCGAGGTTTGGGAAGTCATCCGGTGTAACTCGTCGGGAGCATGCGTTCTTTCTCCTGCTTGTTGGTAGGGTACAAAGAGAGAGTTGGAGTCTAAGCCTCGGGTTGGCTGAGCTCTCCATGGTGTACGTGCTATGTTTAGCGCAATCGTTACGAAAGCGTATTGTGCTCACTCAGATGAGCAAGCGATGCTTTCAGTGATAAGTAATAACGACACAGCGGTATAGGAGCAGTGAACTGTTCTGAGAATATAGAAAAGCCGCCGTACCACTTAAAGTGTGAGATTCTTTCTATGGAATGTTGTATTTGAATAATCTACTTGCATGCGAATATCACTTAGCGGTTTTAGGACAAAACATGTGAGCGAAGTCGTGCTATGGCAGAACGCTACGAACATACACTTTATTAGGCTCCTTGTTAGGGATGTTACTTCACAGACGGCTCACCATGCCCGTCTTTTAGCTAGTAATTCACTTCCATGCTGTACAACAAAGAAAAAAATGGTTTTACAGGAGCAGATCTTGAAGGCGTCCAATTCAAAATTTTAACTACAAGAGAACACTGCATGTGTTGACACTGTTTGCTTGAAGACGAAATCTTTAAGCAGACTGCGCCTTTATATTTCTGAAGTGATTCTAATTGTAATAAATTATTTTTTTTTGTGCAGTAGCTTATCGGCCTCACCAAAACAAGTTTTTAGTTAATTTGTAAAGGGTATTAAGTGGTTTAATTTAGAATTTTATATGAAGATATCTATCTCCGGGATATCCCGGAAAAAGCCAGTCTGCCACCCGAGGCAACACGGCCGTAGTGTTGGAGTTTTTGGGTCACCAAGCGGAGGCCGGCACTTGGCACGGATTCAACACGAGTGCTGCGTCAGCGTAGGGCTGAACTTGTGTTCTTATTGATTGAACAATAGTTTCGGCCGAACGCTGCCGGAGAGATCGATCTGAGCAAGGCGCTGTCCTCCATTTGATGACGTAGAAAAGCCATCACTGACGGCCTTGTCGTCAAGGGGAGTGTGTTTAAGAGGATGGGTTGTCCGCGAGCGCGTGCGCGTGGTTGTCCGGTGTGGTTAACCAGGCTGGGCAGTGCGGACGACCCTTGCAGGAGCCAGTGCTACGGCGGGCCGCCCCCGTCGGGGATGCCGCCGGGCAAGGCGCCATTCGACGAGGAGCCACACAAGCGGCCGAGGCTGGAACCGCCGCCCATGGACCAGAAGGCGCAGATCGAGGAAGAGAGGAAGAAGAGGCAGGTCAGTGCGCAGCCCCAAATCTGCAGGCCGACGTGCGGAACTGGGCACTTTCCAACCACGTGTTCCAGATGAAGATTAAGTCACTCATTATCAAGATTATATAGGAACCGGTGTTCGATTTTACTTTGTTTGAGGCATACCAAACACGTGTGGCGAAATTTAGTCAGCCTAGGCTTTCGAGTAATATCGACGTGACGACTGCGCCCGGCCTGTTACTTTAGTAGAGAGGCAGTACGGCTGAGAGTGTTTATAGAAATCATCAAATATTTATGAATTTAAGGGGAAACTCTTTCCACACTTTATGAAACCCCCATTGGTGCAACGGCAGACAAAGTGGCGCGGGTAAGCTGCTCCTGTAAAGTCGTCATTATCGGTGTGACTTAAACGAGGATCCTGACATTTTACGGACTGCGGCTAAAGCGCTTGTCAACCTGTCTGCCAGTCGGTCAGTGGCTGATCGCAAACCTTATCGGCCCCAACTTGGCTCTCGCACTGCCCGATCGGCTCCTGGACTCCGAGCTGGGCAAAGGGAGTCAAACGCGTTATTAAACCTTCCCTTGCCCTCTCAGGGAAAGAGTTTGAATGTATCAAGGGGTCTTATCGATTGATGTGATGTGATGTATAGGCGTTTCTAATATTATGTTTTGTTTTTTTTCATAAATAAACTTTAGTTGCAAGTGCGCTTCGTCTTGTTTACTCTCCTCTTTGCCTTGTCGTTTTTTTTTGTTGCGCTTTATATCTTGAACATGAACCAACTGGCCCAAATTTCCACTTTGCTGACGGCCGACGAACGCCTCCGGTTGCAGGATCGCCTGGAGGGTATCTGCGAGCAGCTGCGCAGCCTGGGCCGGCAACACGAGGAGCTGAAGGCTCGACTGCAGCAGTCTCGGGACCTGCAGAACGTCGGAGCGGTGCCGCAGCTCCAGTCTCAGCTGGAGCACATCTCCACGCAGCAGATGCAGCTCATCAACGAGCAGAGTGAACTCTCCAAGCAGTTACGACGCATCGACAAGTAAGCCTCGACGCTTCTTACTGGCAGGCACGAAGAGTTAAGCCTCCGGTTGAGGTAGTTTGTTCTTGGTTGTGAATGCTGACAGCTGAAGAACTTAAAAGAAACCCAAATGTAGCAGTTCGACAAAGGCACAAGAGTGTCTTCGTCCAATTTTTTTTTTTTTCGTTTAAATTGTTTAGTTAAATAACAAAAAGTAGAAGTTCCTATCTGGGCTGACCAAACCCCATGGCGCGATCTTGAGTGCGTATGAAAACGGAGTACATCGTTTTAACCTGCCTTTGGCTAAAAGCACATTTAACGGCTTCCGCATAAACAAGACGCCAGACTAAATGTCCCACGAAAAATCGGATTACCTTTATGGTGATACCGAATAAACGGCTTGCATGTTTTGTCCCTGCTCTATGGTGATGGTGGATGGTCGTCACGTTTAATGGTTTTTGCCGGAAAAAACAACAAATTCTGTAGTGCGAAACAAATTCTAGGAAGAGGACGTACTCAGCATCATGACACCACTATGGCCGCTGATGTGACGTCGATGCACCCCGTAATTTTACGTGAACACAGACACCGTCGTCAGTGCCACGGCCCCTCGATCCCCCTCTCCCGCTCCAGCGAGCGGCCGTTTTGGTGTATAGGCTTCACGCACTATATCAACAAAGAAAGTTCTGCGTTAAAATGAAAGAGAAAGAGAGAGAGAGAGAAAAAAAATATTTATTTTAACACGCCTAGTCCGGCGCTCCGAGAGAAAAAGATATCAAATTGGTGGTTTGTTTGTGTGTGCGCGCGCATTCTCAGAAATAGGCATGTACTACTTACACCCCTTGTCCCATATGTAACACCCTGAAAACTAAAATTCGACGTTCAGTCCACTGATGTCGGACCGACAATGCCAACTTTCATGAACGCCTTAATAGTCCGCTGATACAGTTTATTAAAATAGCTAATGTACGGATTATAGACTACAGGGAAGCACTCAAGGTTTTGTTAGCCCTGCTGCAAAACCTAATTTTTTTTGTTTTTATGTAATATTTGATACGTACGTTTAGCTATTTAGTGAGTTATGTCACACAGCTATCAAGTCGCTCTTAAAAGTTGCTATCGTCAGTTTGACGTCAGTGGACTGAACGTCAAAATGTAGTTTGGGGGTGTTATACATGGTACAAGGAGTGTAAGTGCTACACCCCTAATTTCTGAGTGGACATATCACGTGACTATGCGCCCCGCGCGTCACTTTACCCCTGCCGAAATGTCACGTGACGCTCCCTGTCCATTTCATTGGCTTCAAGGGCTCGTATCGTCAACTGCGCTTCGTTTTAAGGGGGACTCACCTCATCAGATTTCTATGGGACTTCCTATTTCATGACTAGCTGTCTTAAAAATCATCACAGAGAAGCAACAAGCGTTTTACAGAATCATGTAAGTGTTCCTAACGGCATGGATTACTTAGTTTTTAAAAATATCAATTTTGCACTGAAATAAAAAATAAACTGTGAAACGTTTTTTCCTCATAGAAATGCATTAGAAATTCTAAAAATAATTTTTTTTAAGATAAATGCGGCACTATAACTAATTTCCGACAAATCCACATTGTGGAAATCGTATTCTGGATCATTGACGTGAAATAATATTTTCCAAAAATTAAGTTTCAGAGCATTTGTTCACGAAACTGTCACGACAAACTAGCTAGTTCAGCTAGTTTGCCCTGGATGGCGCTCGCTGTCTAGAAAGAGAGTCTTTTTGTAGTTTGCTGTTGTCGTTGTAGTATATTCTTGCATTCGTGACATCAGGCTCCGCCCACGCTCCTCCTCCGTTTTACGGCTTGCGTGGACCGTCGAGCTGAATGTGTTGCACGTTTCGTTGTTCCCGTCTCTTCACAGCGGTTATTTTCTTTTTCTTTTTTTTTTTCGTGGGGGTGGTTGGGGGGCTTCTTTTTCTTTTTTTTTTGTGGGGGTGGTTGGGGGCGGGGGGGGGGGGGGGGGGGTCGGGTCGCCTTACCAGCTTTATCAGCTAGGTCCCGTGCGTCTCGGAGCAACGGGCTGGTACTGCGCTGGTATAGAGGGCGCCAAAGTGAATGGCCTCGTGCCCTTGTCAGCTTGACTCAACAACGGGCGCGTGGATGCTTGCTTCTTGCTAACTGCCGGTCGATAATTTTGTGCATCAGTCACTGCGTGGAGAAATGTATGCCTTGTGATCAGGGCGTTGAGAAGAAAGCATATTTCTAAATATAAATTCAGTGTATGCGACTGCGCGGAGGTGTTCGCCGAGCCCAGTGTAGTCCAAACCTTTTGTACACAACCATAGACACTAAATGTCGGTGTCAGTCATATAGTTCATCGAAGTGCGAACGGCGTTTCATCGACAAATCGTTTTGTCGAAATGAGACCACGTTCATTTCATTGACACATCTTCAATTGCTCCTAGAAATATATGCGTTTCCCATGTGCGTACCTGAGAGCGTACATATGTGAGCTTGTGTGTATGTGGTTACGCGTGTATGAGTGCGCGCGTACGTGCGTACGTATTCCACTGACTGGTCGTAAAGCTAGTCTCAGAGCATTTCTTTTGTATGGTATTTTCCCTCTGTGACATGGAAATCTATAGAACGGCACTTAGCCTTTACGGGGCTCTAGAGGTTTGCAACTATTTTATCATGTTTCTAAACTACCCGAGACTGAAGTAAAAAAAGGGGAAAGGAAACGTTGATTGTCGAAGGAAAAAGAGAAGAGAACGGGGACGTCTCAAAATATTTATGTTCTTACCGTGGGCTGGAAAGTTCCTTCCAAATGCGCTCTGTCTTTTAGGATACAATTTGTGCAGTCCTAAAGGAATGACGGTGAACATAGAGCATTTTTTGGGGCATTGGTATATGTTTTTATTGTTCCATTCATGTTTTATACTAGTTACAGCACATACACAAATTGCAATGGGATCTATATACTACATGCCACCAGATACAAGAACGCTTGGAGGACAGCGATGTGCTTCTCCAGTACACACCACAAACTCGAACACTTCTAATGCTGTTTCGGGCGTTTTGAATTCGGAAGAGGTCCGTATAGCAAACGTTTGCGAACCCTGTCGTCTTATGCATAACATAAATTAGATACAACGATATACAATGATAGTCAGCACAGGAACATAGTGACTGAGATGCACTAGCTACATACACTAAGGAATATTTTACTGGATAAATTACAGACATGCAACTTCAAATTATTGATATAGTAGTAACAATGATCAAAATAACACGAGGTTAAGATACCAACACACAAGCATAAGACTGACTAGCAAAAATTCGCGTTACATTATGTTGATTAACTTTGAAGGAAAGATATCTTTTATTATAGCACATCTCACAACTTGTCCAAACAGGGGCAGCGGAGGCTGCAATGAATGGGATAACTGAAGAGAGAATAAACCTTAGGGTGGGAGCTGACGTTTCGCCAAAAATTTTACTTTTATCTTTTTCGGGAGAAGCTCAGGCTTACTCGGTGCTCCGTTGCGATAGGTACTGGCGTGTGCATGAACATGCGTATGGTGCGTGTAATTTGCGCGTGAACTCTTACAACCAGCGAAATTATCAAAGCGCGCGCTCACGCTTATGCTTTCGACACCGCTGTACATTATACTTGGGGCATCGAGTATTTGTGCTCGCGCCTGTCCTCGCAGTCCGAGAGACGGTTGAACGGGTGGATATCGTATAACCGCGCCAGTGCCCAATAACAGAGTTTTAGCATACCGTTTTTCCGCTCCTACAATGTTACCCTAAAAGGATATGAATGCATTTGCAACGCCGATGGAGGTGTATTGCGTATCATTAACACGGTTATCAGAACGGTCTGCTAAACAACGATACCCTATACCGCTCTGTCGCGTTTGCGCATGCGTCATATCCTTATCGGATACACCCAAGGATTATCTTTTAGGTGGTCCAGAATTTCTGACAAAACAGAACTCATCCTTAGGATACTTCAATTTTCCAATTAGTTTACCGTCTTGATAGACACTAAGAACAAGGTTGATTGTGGAGTTAAAATGCCCAATTAACATATCTCTCAATTCACTTTTAATTAGTGACTGATTAACTAATGCAGTGGTTTTAGATTATGTCGAGCAAGTTTCTAATTGTAACTATATGCACAGTGTTACTGTACTCCGCGACAACTTTTCTTGGCAATGCAGTGGAAGGTACAGGCCCGCGTCCCCTCTCCCATTTTGAGTGTACGCGGGCTCTCCTCCTCTCCCCGGACATGGGGGAGGAGGAGAGCCTGCGTACACTCAAAATGGGAGAGGGGACGCGGGCCTGTACCTTCCACTGCATTGCCAAGTATAGTTGTCGCGGAGTATAATCAAAATCTCATTAAACGATCTCTGTTAGTTAACCGCCAAATTGCACGAGCAACTTTGTTCCTATAGTGGTCTCTGAGCGGGTTAAACTAATGGCAATATTAAAAGTGCCCTAACTAGATTTTGATTCACCCGGTATAAATGTCGAAGCTGAAAACCGGTATAATAAAACTCTCTAATATACGGACGCTGTGAGGAGTACTATGCCTCAACGGGCTGTTTCCGCAGCTCCATTTTTCTGGTGAAACGGGGATCAAGAATCTCCGGCAAAAGATATCCAAAATAAAAATCCTGCAGCTTTGGAGTCAGAGTCTTCCAAAAATTGGTGTCACGGGGGATTCTTTGAACGAATTTGTCTGTGGGCGACCAGAACATAAGGTCGCAGTAGTCTCTCTGCGTGATGTTGAGTTGTCCTTGTACCTGGAAATAGTACTTGTTTGTCTTAGGCAGGTAGAGACATTTGTTCTTTTTACAAATTCGGATGCCTATGGAGTGGTGTTTGGACGTCTCAGCCAGTGTCTCGTAGAGTCGTGCGGTGAACGGGCACTTCACCTCAAGTAGGCCGTTGCCATCCAGGAGCCTATCGGGGCTGGTGCATAGGAATGGCAGGTCGGTGCAGACAAAGAGGCCGCACTCCTGAATTCTCACGCTGG